TGTTTTTTTCTTATTAAACAATGAAGGGTAACATTGTTGTTCTCTTTCATAGCTTTTATGCTGATTTTGGTCCCCTCAACCTCGCTATGCTGTACAGATACTGCTGTAAACTCAACAAAAAGCTCAAGGTGAGTCAAACACCTGCTCAATTTGTTATGTTCCTCCTGAAGAATGTGCAGTATGTTGCTACATCAATTTTAAAAAGCTGAGGAATTTGCGCTCACGCCCCATCGCTGGATATTTTGGGCTGTCCAATGTGCTGACGTTTCCTTTGTTTGTAATATGGGATGGGAATTTAAGCTTAATGATACAGCATTGAACTCCAGCTACAGCTAGAAAACATCCCGTTCCTCCCTCACTTTATCAAGTCATCAGCTCGTTTTATGCCATGTCTGTAAGGCAAAATCGCATGTGCTCATTTTAAATGAAAGCGACTCTGACCAGAGGCTCAGAAGGATACATCACGTGCACCTTTAGCCATGTGTCTCCTGTCTTTTTTAGTCTTTGACTCACCTGTCTTGACATTTTAATGTGGACTGAGAGTGTCTCCTGGGACCACAGCATGTTCTTGGCTCAGGACCTCTCTGAAGCTCAGTGGTTCTGGCAAAGAAGAGATTTCTTCTTAAAAGAATAATCCAGGTTCAGTATATTTGCAGTGTAATGCTGATTACAACAAAAATTAATTTCTACTTGTCCTCCTTTTAAAAATGTACATTACCCTGAGAAACTTAGAATGGAAGTAAAAGGGGCCAGTTTGTAAACAATAAAATACTCTACAATAAAACAGAACCTAAAGAATATGAGCATTAATATGATATTAGTGTGAAAAAAATCACTTACTAAGCTTTTCTGTATTAAGTTATATCCAGTTTTACAACTTTGTTGTGATGACAAATCCCTAAACCATGAAAACAACAAATTACATGGTTTTACATACTCGGTATTAATAAAATAATTAAAGTGCTTTGAAAAAATCATAAGCATTTCTGCTTTTAAATGCTCTAAAAATTGGCGCCATTCACTTTCACTGTAAGTGCCTCACTGTAACTTCCATTTTTGTTTTGTTTAAAGAAAAGGAGGGACAAGTTGGAATAATTTTTTGTGGTAATCCATGTTATGTCAATTGAGTTAAACTTGTTCTCAACCCAAATTATTCCTTTAATCCACAGTTCAATTTGTATGAATCTGAATCTTTAACCTTATACATAGTCAGTGAGTGAGTCTGCTCAGTTTCAGATTATATATGTCAGCTGGACATCAACCTGTTGCATTACGCCAAGAATATTTCTAATTTCTTAATTAAAGACTTAATCCAATGGTTTAGTAACTACTCATTTACTAGTCGCTTTTATCCAAATGGTTTTCAGGGACGAAGTGTAACCTGGGGTTAAGTGCCTTGCACAATGGTGCGTCTTGATCACTTTGGGGATTGAACCAGTCACCTTCCGGTTGCCAGCTTAAAATTTATCTACTAGGCCAAAAGTTCACTATTCAAGTTCAACTTTCTCTTCCCCCACCATTGTCATGGCATTTAACAGAATATCAGCAAGGTACAGATTATGATCTACTTCAATCTCAGTGCTCACAGTCTGTTGAGAAAGTGAGTTGTGTGTTATGTCACCGTTCTTGATCTCTTAGGCCTGATCCTTCCGTCTATTAGATGTAATA